AACAAGTAACTCCATAAGTTAGTTGGTCCTCGTTAAGAAATTTAGAATAAATGATTGCCACAGGCATACTGCAATAAAAGAAAATACAGTAACCTTAAAAAGGAAGTGTTATTGATGAAAAAAATCATTATTGGTCAAAAGAATTATTTTGAAGACTACTGCTAAGAAAATATATTTTTATAAACTATCAATGATTCATGTTTGAAAAATTCAGATGACAACAAAGCTGTGTGTAAAAGGGAACTTGAAATCCAACCTTTTCACTGCCCTTGCTACCACAGAGAAAACAGAGTTCTTTGACAACACTTGGAACACCAGCTGTAAAACAAACTGCAAAGCCTTCCTTCCAAATTTCTTCCTCTGTGCTGTTGTCCTACATGTATGGAAACATTATACCCAATAATATTTAAACAAGTAAGGACCTAACTTCCATTCAGTTTACTCATACACATATATTAATCTGCATAGAATGTTAGGGGGTGGGGGGAGAACCCAGGAAATGTTCTGGTTTTATCAACAACATACACACAGCTCCAGACAATTTTGAGTTTACAGACAGTTCAACACTTGACAGAACTTTTCTTTACATCACAAAAACTGATGGTGAAGAAACTTGAATTGACTCTTAGGAATATTGATGAAAAGTGCTTCAATATAAAAAAAACAAAACTAAAATTTGTTTCATGAACAAGTCTCAAGATTAAAGAAAAATATAATTTGTCTTTTCAGGAGCACAAGACAAAAGAAAATCTGAATTCCCATTAGGAATCAGGCCTAAGACCTTGCTGTTAGGCGAGTTACAGTGTAGGCTATTACTACCTTCATATGTGACACACATCCAGCATAGTGCTAGGATCAGTACTGTTGCAATTGTAAGTTTTGAGCTCAGTAGTGGAATAAAAAGGAGGTTATTTGTGTTTTTGTGAGAATGAGACAATGATAAAAGGTGAGTTCCATTCACAACTTAGATCTTGAGATTGACATAAGACTCAAGATTTCCAGTAACTACAGTTTGAAGTGATTGTGTACTTACACTCCAAGGTAGTTTGACCAAAGGAATATCAGCCATTACTGCTTGTCTCTTGCCACAGGGTGGTGGTTTAACTGATGCCACAGGCTTCTTTGCAGTTGAAGATGACGTCTGGTTTTGACCTTTCTTGGAGCCCTTGACTTTTAGGGCAGTGTCATTCTTTAGGGGTGCTCTCTTTTTCGCTGTTGTATTAGAATCTGCATGTAAGATTATAAAAATATTACTTTAAAGAACTACACAAATTGAAGACATTTCCAGGGCTCCTAGCTAAAACTGTGGTGCACAGACAAAAATTAGAAAAAGAAACTTAGCGCATTTTGAGTATGTGATCCCTTTACACTGATCACAAAAATAAACATTTAACCTTCTAACTTCCAGTAGTGATTAACATAAAACTTCTCCCTACAATATCCATACATTATTCAGTAAACAGGTGATGAGAATATTCAAACTTAATCAATTTAGCTCAACTGAAATGCCAATAGTTATTAAAGGTATAAGTAAACCACTAAACTTTATTTAATACATGTACATGCAAAAAGAAAGTTTTTAATCTGACCCAATGATAATAGAACTTTACACAGATAATGTTCTGTCGTCTGACATACAATTATGTACCTTTGACTAGTCTCCTGTAAGGTACACCTTTGGGTTTTGGAGGCTGAGGATCAACACACTTGCGTTTCCTGAAATTCAGTAGAAAATGCTTCAATTAGTTTTTAACACTTGACTCAAAACAATTGCTTAGAAGTTCACTCACAATGACAGCTACTTACCTAGTACATATTTACACTCTTCAACTTCTGCCCATATCATTTTTTATATCAAAATTTTTAATAGGTATCTAATAAGTCAATAAATTTACCACAGCCAACATTGATACTCTCTATACCAAACTATTTTTATTATCTAACTGCACAAAGTAGAGTACAAAAGATGCCTGAATACAGTACAAATATCTTGCAAAATTGTACAGTTGATTATTTTGTAATGCAAAAAAAACCTGATTAACCAGTCAGCTGCATATGCTATGCTTCTCTGTCTGCTTTACTTTTCCAGCCTTATGAGAAACAAGCATAGACACTTGGTACCAAAAAAAGGAGTTGGATAATATATAACTTATTGGAAATTTTGGTGTGTAGTATCACTTAGTGTTTCTATATGCATTATTTGTATTTCGACTCATCTTGAAGGCTTGTCAAAATACGACACAACTCACAAAAATCCTTAGCAATACTACACACCAAAATATTGAATAAGATATTCATAGCTACATGTGCAATTTGGACTGGAAAGATTAGTTCAGTTTTTTTTAATGATTAATTAAGTAAGTAATATTAAGTCAAACACTTGAAATAATCAATGACTCATGTACAGCAAAAGTAAACATATACTTACACACATGACTGTTTGCTAGTACCCGGTCCCCCAAACTTCGGCTTGTCTCTGATGGGAAATACAGGAAATTGTAAGAAAAATGAAATTGAATAAGAGAGATGGTAAGTTTTGAGCTTGGTAAGGAAATAGAAGAAAAATGTTTTTCGTCTTGTCACGAGTGTGAGACATAGAGTCCCCATGAGGAATCAAACCTCAGACCTTTTGGATTCTATATTAGAGCATCAGAGTGCAGAATCCAAAGGGTCTGAGGTTTACTTCCTCATGGGGACTCAGAATTTTCTCCTCGTCCCACAATCATGACAAGATGAAAAACATCTTTCTCTAAAAATGAAATAGGTGCAAGGAAAGACTTTCATCATGACAATTTCTGAGACTTACATGCACCAGCGACATACACCACAATCATCTAGGACTTTGCATCCTACACATTGACCACAGCGAATCCTTCTTCTTCCTGGAACCAATGGAATGTTAGTGTCCCTCTCCTTTTTCCGAACACCAATTTTCTTAATTATTTTCACAACCTTTGTTTTTGTTTCTCCACTCTTTGTTCTTATTTTCCTAACAACTTTGATAACTTTCTTTACTACTCTTTCCTGGTTTTCTTCCCTCTGCTCTTTCTTAAGCTCTTTTTTGACCTGTGAAAGTGGCTTACTACTTTCCTCATCATCACTTGAACTAGGTAATTCACCATCCTCTCGCAAGGCTTGTAGCCTTGATAATTGTGTCTTTTTTGCATATGGTTGTTTTTTCTTTGCTGGAACTGATTTTTCAGAAGCTGGTCCCTCATCCGCAGAACTCCTGCTTTCTTCTTGACTTGGGCGTCTTGATCTTGGTCTACTTTTTCTTTCTGCATCAGAGTCTACACCAACTTCATTTTGCTCTTTTGAATGTCTCCGTATTTCCACTGCCCTACATGCAGTCTCTTCTGCAATGTTCATAAATGTATCTTCTTTTGTTTCACTCTCAATCTTTTCCTGCAACTCTTGCAATCGTTTTGATTTAAAAAAATGTTTGTGAGCCGAGCCGGGTGTTTTCCTACTTGAAACATCGCTGTGTGTGGATGAAACCTCTGAATGTGAAGATCCATTGCTAGCTTGATCTTCCATCTCTTCCTCAACACTTTTCACTGAAAAGAGTTCATCATTCTGTTTCTTAATTTTGATTCTCTCTGATCTCTTTCCACAGGTTTCTTTATTACTCGACTGACCTTTGGTAGGTCTCTGCAATTTCAAAGTCTGTGATAAATTGGAAGTTCTAATAGTTTTCACTCTCTGTATACCTTGGATTGGGAATTTAGCAGGTTGATAATGAATTTTGGCATTCTTTACATTTTTCATCCTTGCAGAATTTTTGATACGAACTTTCCTGCTGTAAGAAGAATGCTGAGGTGCATTATTTGGCAATGATCCTTGAGATGGCACATCTGTAAATCCAAATCTAGAGCCCTGAGAAACCAAAGAGCATTGTATAAATGGGAGAAAAAAAATTCATTTCCTTATCAGAATACTTCTTACAGTTAGGTAACCCTTATCCCTCTTTACTGCAACATCAGCATGCATATTCTCCATACTGTTCTCTATACATTTCCTATAGGGTCTAACAAGGAGAATTTACTGCACAATCAAGAGCTTTTTAAGGGTCAAAGGGTTAACTCCTTGTGATCAGGATCTAATTTCTCTCAACAGTGTCACCCCTGAATCAAATGTTAAGGTCACGAGAATAAGGAAACAATTGCCAGCTCAAGAAGCTTGATTGTAAGCCAAGTTCTCTATATAGGTATGGATCTACATTGCTTTGCGCTCATTAAAAGCCTGCTTATTTTCAATGACTTCCTATGATTTTTCAGAAGCCAAACCTAAATTCCATGACTTTCGAGGCCTGGAAAATGAAATTATAAAATTTCATAACTTTCCAGGTTTTCCATGGCCCATACCAACCCCATCATTGTTTAGTGCTTCCTATTTGTTTTGAAGAAAATCTAAGGTAATTTTCTTTTTTGATAAAATAATTATACCACAATCTTAATTCCAACAGCTGTGCAACTGTTTTTTCTTGACATACCTGCAAGTCAGCAGAACTCAATGTCTGGATTTCAAATCCAGTGGGTGAATCTGTAAAGAACAAATTTATATTTGTTAAGGTTCATTTTACAAGCTATAGTTATATAGATCCCTGTTATGTTCTTAAAAATGTAGCTTAACTGGAGGGCAATGATAACTAAACTAATTCCTTCTGGAAATAAAATTAACTTTACATCGTTTCTCCTTTGGTAGAAAATTATTTACCCAGACCTGAAATAAGGCTAATAAAGAACACAGCAAATTGGATCAACATGAAAACAAAGGTAAGAGTGATCTTGTGATTTTTTTGTAATTGCATAAAGATCTCTAACCTTTTAACTCCCAGATCAAATTTTTTAATGTTCTTACTGTCAACCATACAATTCTTATAATGTTAGTTAAGAGATTTTAGTATTGGATCAACTAATTATCCCCAAATTGATATTTTTCTTTATTCTCATCATATATCTGGTTGATATTGTATTGATATTGTAAGGAGAAATTCTGTCTTGGTCACTCATGGGAGTTAAAGGGTTAAAAACATCATGAGTTACGATTAATCACAAAATGAATGAGCAGTTTATGCATTTTTTTTATTTATTTTTACTATGCAAGATCTTCTTATGACATACTTTTTAAGCTCTGGGTAAACGTTACTAAAAACACCTTTATATACTTATAATTTTATTATTTTCCTTTCCAAGGGTCATTCCCCATAATAAAAGCAACTCTAGGACAACTTTTCCTTCAAGAGGTGTTTTCAAAATTAAACATGTCTTATTGATCTAAGAGGCTAAAATTTTGAGGGACTAGAGAACAGAAATTCAATATTTTGTCTTAAAATCTATTCATGGTTATCCTTGACAAAAAAGGAACCAGATATTTGATGAGTACATAAAAAGAAGCAACACAATTTAGCTTTTAAGCTTATTATTTCACATAGCTGACCATTCAAGGGGTATTGCAATCCAGAGGTAGACAAATTACAAATATTACAAAACTGTGATTGAACAGAGGATATTATCATGGGACAGGAGTAGTATGCTGAAAGTTTCCAAAAAAAAATTACATACTTTCTTTGATTACAGAGATGTTTGGTTTGAATTTCCTGATCTTTCAGCAAATTTAAAACAAGTTCTCATTTTCAGAAGAGTTGTTGATGACCTAGTAGGTACGAATAATTTTTTGCAATCCTAAGGATCCTGTCAGAAAAGAACAACTAACTGGCGCTATTGATTCTATTTCGTGCAATGACTGTGTTAACAAGTATATCAGAGAGACCAAATGTCAGTTTGGTACACATTAGAACATCAAAAAGCAGTCTTTTTTGGCAAAAAAGAAAATTCAGCTTTATTGGAGCACACACGCCTAACCAGCACCTTTGTTTGGAAGCCTAGCATATCGACTCCACCCGCGCTCCTTTAAATCGTGATGATGGCCGCCTGCTTCCTGACGCCTATTTACACCTCATCAGAAAAAAAGGGCAGCTAATTAGTGAGTGTATGAAAGGACCTCTTGTTGCAGCGTTTAGATCACCTCTGATGAAGGCACAAGACAGGAGTGTCGAAACATTGGGTCTATGAATTGTAACTTCTTGGTCACATTCATTAAATCTTTAAACCAGAGTAGCATTAAACCATGTCTATATTTCCCTTTACTTATTTCATACAGGTTGTGAGAATTTCATGCACATCACCACCATAATTTTAAAAAATCTAGTCTTCATTCTGGCTCTTTTTTTTTATATTGCATATTTTAATCTTACTGTATAACCCATTGATATGGCAAGGAGTAACATGATTTAATTTTGATGACTCTTTTGGGGATTGTAAGTCATTATCTTAAATCACTTATTTTGTTTCTTTAATGCTAAACATGCATATAGGTTCCTCTAATCTTCAAAAAAACCAAACTCATCATGATTAAGAATAAAACTACTTAACTAAAATAAACAAAGAAATATTTTCTAGCACTGCCTCAAAAAATTTCAGATACCTGGATTATTCACGTAGACTCGTTGATCACCTGGTAACTCCACTTTTTCCAGTTTCACCTTCGCAGTTCGAAAAGCTTTGTTCGGAGGAACTTCGCCGTCTTCCAAGCGTCTTTTCTGAGCGACTCGATTAACATAGTTTGACGATCCAGTTGTGCTCCTTTCATCTCCGCTGATTTTAAATTTCGGCGATGTGACATCGTCATAGTCTAACTTTTTACTTTTCACTACACGGCCAGACCGCGATCGTAATGGTTGGCCCTCTTTGTTTACTTCATCAAACTTTCTTTGCTTCCGAATTCTCTGGCCCTCCTTCGCTTTTGCAACCAATTGTTTCGCCAGAGGCACAGCCTTTTTCTTTAAATGGAAATTGATATTATGTGTGTTAGGCGATATATGGCGCTTGATTCCTTCACCCATTGAAGGTTTCTGGACCCGCGGTACAAAATTCGCTCTGACTTGTGTTGTTGATTTCACGTTTGGTGACAGACAAGCCTTGTCGAATTCTTTGGAGGGTCGCGCGAATCTTCTTTCGTACGAATCTCTCTTTCTGTACTGCTTCGCGTACACATTTTGGCTCGTTGATGCTGCGGAAGGTTTATTATCTGCTTCACTCGCGTTGTTCTTACGCTGAAGGGATTCAGTTGTGAGTGTTTTAGGCACATTACCACTTGAATGTCTTGATGGCCGGTCTCTGGCGCCATCTTTACGATAACTAACTCTTTCGCTGCCATCCAAATAATCTTTGACAGAGAAAGAGCGATAAGCTTTCAAACCCAAATCCTCAGAACGAAAACCATAAAATTCTTCTTCCTATAATCAAAATAAAAAATCAGAAGTTTACTAAACAATCAAGCTTGCTTTTCCAAAGAAGAGAACAGGCCTCATAAACAAAACTATGAAATAAGCATTCATTGGAAAATTGATGAAGCACCTCTTCATCGGAATCTCCGAAGATTTCACGGTATTTTCGAAGGCTGATACAAACTGGTTTCTTGACTGAGCTCTTAAGCTTTTCTCCAAGCTGCTCTTGTTTAATCAATCTGGACATGGTAAAATTCTCCTTTTTCTCAGGAGCACATCGGGCCTTCTTAGTTCCAGGATATTTCATTCGCGCCATGTTTCCTCTTTGTGCGCATGAGTATGCGTCTCACACGTGCTGCCACGACCGCACACAATTATGGGTCAAAACAGAATAAACAAATATTTTTTTGACAAAATTGGCGTCTATTTTGCATCTTTTCCACCACTAGCGCTGACTCAGGGTGTCAGAAGGTAAAGAGAAGTCCAATCAAAATCGAAAAAAATCTGGGCAGAAGCCCTATCGTGAGAGAAATCTACATCGCGCAAGCTGATTGAGTGACCAGGCCTCATGGGTATTCCCCAAACGTCCGGTTCGCCTCGACGCACGTTCCTTGTGCGGTGGTTTAGAGACTTCATCGTTCGCTTTGCTGGATGGCCACGCACGAAAATGAATCAAGTCTAAAAGCTGTCGCAAGAATTAAATTTTGTCGGATCAGACCATGCGTAAATGAGTTTAAAGCGAATGATCAAGATTTAAGACCTTAGCGTGATTAGTAGATTGCGCGTTGTGAAGATCGCACGATATCATCAATAAACCCAACCGATTTCTTTCCTTCGATATCGTCTACGTCCACGCCGTATGGAGATTGATATATATAGTGTTTTCAAGTAAGTGATCTGAAATTGCCTTAGCAGACATAATTGTTTAATTTAAGCGCATTGTCAAGTTTGCGCGGGGTTTTCCCAGCGTGAGCCTTCCCACGCATAGGTCTCTAAGAGTCGCCGCGATACCGCAGTTTACCGCTTGCTTCCGCCTCTGACCTGCAGTCTTCTGACCCATTTAAAGAACAAACCTCGGTTGTCTTATAAGGGTTGAAAAAATCCCATGGTAAGCTTTGGACGATCATGTATCTTCAGTAGAATTCAGTAATCGCGTTTTGCCTCCTCTTTATTAGTCAGCTATCAACTATTGTTTATTATGTCTCCCAGTGAACTACAGTGCTGTCCTAAGACTCAAGTCGTCTTGACAGTACCTGGTGTGTATTGACTCTGTATTGAGAGAGGCTGGCTTAGAGTCCGGGTCTGAGTTGTTTCATCGTTAAGATGATATGAGGGAACTCAAACATCGAACACAGATTGGACGAAATCAGCACAAACCATCGTTAGATTCGAGCTACGTGTGCGAGAAATCAACAACCTGCTCTGTGCGGTTTCTGGCCAGCGCACAGATGGTAAACCAAACAAGCCTATGCGTTGAAGTGATTGCAGGCTACTTTACAGGGTAGTTGGTTTTCCCCTTAGAAAGAAAATTGATCAAGATGGCGGTCTGCATTCCTTCTCACCTCAAAGAGTCTTAATGACTCAAAGGTAGAGCGTCAGAGCGAGATGCGAATGGCTGAGGCTCGATTCCTCATGGTTACTCTGAATATTTTTTCACACTCGCGAAAAGACGATAAAGCATCGTTCTCTATTTATTTTTTTCACGGGTTTTCGATAACAGTTATGATCCGATTAATCCTCAGTGGCAAACAATCCATCAAATTATTGAAATTGTGAACAAAACTGGCTATTCAACATACAAACTGCTTTTCTAAAGTGAGGAGGGAGAGGTGCTGGCGTATTCCAAAGCGGGCCTTTTCATGAAGACCTCAAAAAAAGCTCTTCAGCAACGTCCAAACAACTTGGATGCTGTCTGGCAAGCAGACTGTACAGCCTTAAGTTCTCGTCTATTTTTCCCGTACAACAACTTAAGCGAAAGGTAAACTATTCAAGGACGAGTAACAACTTTGGAAATGCAAAGAATTGCTTCGAATTTATATTTATATAAGCTATCTTCCCAACAGTTTATGTCTTTCCAAGAGGACATCTCTCTCTACTTTCTTCAACCATTTTTGGCGAGATATGTAGATTTTTTTCGCAGCGCTTTGCAATTGCACTACTACCGTATACACATAAACGACACTGTACTGAGGTTGTCCCTGAAAAATAGAAATCCTGATGTGGTCCCGTCCCGCAAATTACTCTTTTAAAATGCATCCCTCGGGACGCACCTACAAAGCAAAGTTGAGTATGCAAAGCGATTTAGAAATTAAAAATAAAAAACGCAATGAGTAAATGTAGGGATCGCTATAGTATGGCGATGATAGCCGTAAAATATTGTTGTGCACCAGAACACCTGCATTTTTCTGCTTTCAGATTATAGGGCATCGCAGTAAATCTTTTAAGGTTAGAGATCGTTTAAATCTTGTTTTTATGATTGCAAAACTTATGAATTATAATCGCACATACACTATAAATCCACGATCTCGACGATTTAAATTCTCAGTTCGCACTGATCGTTTCGATTCGATCAATCAAGGTTGTCTTTGCGCGGGTCCACTTTCTACTATAGTTTTGCAGGTTTAAACCAGTCAATTGAAGGTGCGTTGTCAACTTTTGTACGAATTTCCTCTCTTAAAAAAGTGACAGCGTTCTAATTACCAGGAAAATTACCGTGACAGGGTAATAGCTAACTAAGGTAAGGTATTAGCGTAGTCCCAGTACCCAAAGTGATTGAGGTCACTGAGGCACAAAACGACTGAGTACGTCGTGTATGTACACACAAGTCGTCAATACAATAACTGTGAAGTGACGCCAACGAAGGACGCGCGGACTTGTTTCAAATCGATCAGAGTAATCCATGCTCCTTCCATCCCCGAGTATATTTTACACTGTCGAGTTACAAAAAGATTACCAAGATCTTGTCTTTCTAGCTCTATGCACCGGCGAGTGGATGATAAGTTGTATCATAAAAGCGTGCGCCAACGAACACCCTTGTTAATGCTCTCTGTAAGGCCGGTTTACCACCTCTTCTTTACATGGACGAATGGACTCCGAGCTCGAAAGAAAAAAGAAAATAATCCAAAAGGGCTAATCTTAGCCTAGCTTCGCGTTGTAAAAGGTGAAGAACACACGCAAATTTAAAACGAAGATAACGATGGACAAAAACAACAGCTATTTCCTTTTTGACTAAGAATTTTATTCTCGATATTTACAATGTGATATCTCCTCTTTTTCTGTACTTGTAAAATTTTAGTCAAACTTCTAAAATGAGACGAGCGATGCAAAGGTGTTAAGAGCTGAGTCGTTTTAGTGACTGGATAACAATTTAAGTCACCGGGGTGCAGTTTCAGACAAAGTGAGACATCTCGCGCATAATGGGTAAAAACGCGCGGAAGTAGTGGGTTTGGTTTTCGTTCCTGATTGGTTGAGAATACAGAACTTTTCTTTCGATTAACAGGGCTCATAGAAAGAAAGAGTTCTCCAAAGCTTAGTAAACTTAAACCGTAATACTTTAACAGAAATAACCATTACGTTCTAAATCTCATTAATATTGTTTCTCAGTTATACGTGAGGTTACGTCGTTGCGTCATGTTTGTGTCAGCTTAAAAGAGAATCTTTCTCGTTTTGTAAGAAAGCTTTGAGAAGTGGTTCAAAGCTTTCATCACTGCGACTGACTTGTCTCTCCATGGCGGCACGAAAGTCCTCTTTGGCTCCTTTGTTAACTCCTCGTGTCACTGCTCTACTGCAAAGTAAGTAACCGAAGTCAAATAAGTCAAGAAGAAGTAAACTAAGTAAAGCGTAAGTAACAACGGATCTCTAAAAATTTTCAAAAGACATTAATTAACAGAGCTGACATTTAACAGGGTAATTTTGAAATTATTGTAGAAAGTAACTCAGTATTAAATTGGTTTGCCTTACGACTCCGAGCACGCTTTGTGATTGGTTAAAGAAACAAGCATCACTCTTTCAACCAATCGAATGTTAACAAAAAACCAGTTGCGACTTGAACACTGAGATTTTCCCGCACTTTAGAGAGGTAGCCGCTCAGTGATTGGTTAAAGAAACACACGTCACTCTTTCAACCAAACAAATGCTAACCAAAAACCAGTTGCGACTTAGACACTAAGGTTTTCCTGCACTTGAGACATGTTGACACTCTGTGACTGGTTAAGGAAACACACAGCACTCTTTCCGCCAGTCAGATGCTAAACAAAAACCAACTTCGACTTAGACACTCAAGTTTTCCCGCACTTCACACAGTTTATTTATTGTAACTTTGAGCTGGAAGTGGGTCCTGTAAGTATATTGCTTTATTCTGATTATTTATTGAGATAGCTTTGGGGTCGTTTTAATGACACCAAATGGAGAAAAGGAACAAACTCTCCCAATAGCACACAAAAGACATATTGAAATAGCCTGGAAAAATTGACAGAGTTTGATTCGAAAGGGGTGAAAATAAATCACAAGACGCTCACTTTTACCTTCCTTTAAAATTCTAAATTTAGCAAACGGCATTTCGCGAAGGAACACGTCTCACATTGGAGTAGACGTTGGTGACATAACATGGGAAATAACCGCCATATTTAGGACTTACCCTGAACCAGATGTAGAGAGAGGAACTAGATCGAGGTTGTACGAATCATCACTGTAGAGGTGCGCGAACTCCTCCAGAATATCGATATCTGCACACTATTAAGTAAACTTGGAGGACACTGTTTATCACCCGGTCTAAATCCACAAAGCGGCAAAGTAAACACATTAAAAAGAAACGCACGTGGCGTAAATTGTATTCTTATACCCAACGAGATCTTACATGTATTCCCGCTAGGAAAAGCGCCAGGACCCGCCGGGATTACCGCCAAGGTTCCCGTCGAGGTTGCAACGGGATCTAGCCGGGACTCCTGTAAGGAATCGTTCCGGGATCCGCAAGGATCCCCACCGGCACAGACTGTAATTAAAAACATTACTAAGAATTCGAATTAAAAAAGGATACTGTTCACGTAACTGAAAAACACTCTGTATCTCAGTCCTCCCTGATCACGGATCCTGTCCAGGAGCTCATAGAAGGCATCCTCTTCTCTTGGCCAACCAAACTGCACTAACACTACCACGTGACCAAGGAGTGTGTCATTTCGCCCTTCCGTCACCAGCCTTTGCTAGAAGTAAGAAAAATGTTTTTTCCTCTCATTCCCACGGCTTTAGTTTACTTCTCACCACTGTCTCTATATATTTCTCAAAATATGGTACTGTGTAACACAACATCGCTCAGTTGAC